TCCGCGACACAGAGGGGCCCTCAATGTGATAGACTGAGCAGGTGACCCTGTCAATGACTATGAGGTGCAGGACCAGGCAGGGTTTTGGTAAATGTAAGATCTCTGTGAGTGTAAAATGAGTTGAAGGCAACTAGCAACAGCAAAATGTAAGACCTAATCCTATGTTTGAAATGAATAAAACAAATTTGTGTTAGATATATTATAATAATATTTTTGCATGATGTGCATATACTTATAGTCTTAGTATTAAGGTAACAGATGGACAGTGAGACGCCACTCAAGTACTCCCTCAATGCAAGAACACTTTGTTCTATTAAACTGGCATTCCACGATGCTCACCTTCCAGTCATGATTGCTGAAGACAAATGGGTGCAAAAGCAAATGTGGTGGAGTGTGCATCCTACTCACTAAGCATTCAACTCAGAGACTTTTACAGGTTCTACGGAAGTTCAATCTCACAAGAATGAAACACATGTAAATTAGGTGACTGAGAAATTCCAGGCATGGGAAAGTCATTTAGAGAAAGAAATTAGTTTTCACATGATTCTGAAATTTGCAGCTTAGAAAAGAAAACCAGAATTGGTCTCAAATCGGCAGCCTAACTTCTTACCTTCACAGACTAATAAGAGAAACGGAACCCAAAATTAGATAAAAAAATGAAATTAATGAAAAAAGAGAGGAATAAAAAGAAAACCAATAGAGAAAAATCTGTTAAGCCAAGGTTCTTTGGAATAAGGAACCATCAGCAAATGATTAGCTGCACAGACAAAATGAAACAGAAAAGAGAAACACGCAGAGCTGAAAGACTGAGATTGCTGAAATCAGAAATGAAGGGAGGATATCACTGCCGATCTGACACGAACAGAGAGAATTGAAGGGGATCCTCTGGTTTCTCCCTACATTTCAATCCGTTTTGCTCGGTTCTGCTTTGAGTCATTTGCTCCTGAGCCTAGGAATCTGGGGCTTCCTGTTTCCAAACTCGCATAGACTTGAAAATTAAATTTTACCGTGTTTAAAAGGACATGAATGTGGATTATTTTAATATAATAATTTTCCTTTATAATTAAAAGAAAAAGTCTATTTTAGTCAAGACTCGTGCATGGCCATTAATGTCTTTGTTATAACCCGCTGGACTGAGACTCTTGTTCCTTTCCTACTTGAAGTGAGGAGGATACACAAGGAAATATTGCTGGTTTAACCCGAGAATATAAGAAGGAAGTCAATCTACGGCTGGAATTTGTTAATTTACTGCTTCTTTTCTGTCCTGGCATCTGGTACTACTGATGAATTTTACAAACAACATCAATAAAATAACTTTCATTGTGTAAAGTAATGGGAGTAGTTCAAACTCAATTATAGGAAAATTTGAAATACCAAGAGCAATAGTAATGATTTTTAAAGAAAGATAAAACATATTTCATATAGCCATTGATCAATGATCGTACTTCTTCTATGTCAATTACCATTCATAGAACATTTATTTTTAAAGTTTTATCATTTCTTTTCAAATCATATCATTTATTTTTATGTCAATGCCTCATTGAAATCATAGTTCTTCACAAACAAACCAAACCCTTCTCTAAGCCAACTCCTCTGAACTCATTCTTGAATGTTAGTTATGTACTTATTGTGGTAGCTATTCTGTGTTAGGTATTTGACATTTGACCCACTTATTTATATATTCAGAATTTATTTGTACTTTGTCCTATTAGTAGACAAGCAGGCGCATTTCCCTTCAGATGCATCTACAAGAGTCCACCTTGTAAACTGTACAAAGGGTGTACAGTTTACAATCTACCCTAGAGTGAATTCCAGTTGGGTCACAGGATATGGAAACATTGAGTTTTACAAAATAAGGCCAGAGTGTTTTTTTCAAGGTGATCATTCCAGGGCACACTTCTATCACCAATGTACAAGAAATTTTCCGAATTTATATACAGTTTGCTCAGAAAATCTAATTTCATGTTTTTATTTTCAGATGAAAGTTCCTAGGTTATGCAAACAGCACTCAGTAGTCAACTTGAGGGCTCATGGTTTAAAGCAACCCAGCATCATGAGTAGACAAATGTGCATTTGGTTAGTAATTACATCGTGGATCATTGGCTTTGTGCATTCACCAAGCCAACCAGTTTTGATTGTCAAGCTGCCTTTCTGTGGACCTACGGCATTGGATAGCTTTTTCTGTGACATACCATTGGTAATCAAGCTTGCCTGCATGGACACCTATGTTCTGGAAATGTTAATAAATGCTGACAGTGGAGTACTGGCAACCATCTGCTTCATCCTGTTGTTGACCTCTTACTCCTATATTCTGTTTACTGTCTGCCTTTACTCTAAAGATGGAGCATCCAAGGCTCTCTCCACCTGCACTGCTCACATTACAGTGGTGGTGCTGTTCTTTGGACCCTGTATTTTCATCTATCTGTGGCCAATCAGTATCACTTGGGTGGACAAATTTCTTGCTGTATTCTATGCAGTTATCACACCCCTCCTGAATCCAGCTATTTATACTCTAAGAAATAAAGAGATAAAAAATGCGATGAAGAGGCTAAGGTGTTAGCATGTAGAATTTAGAGGGTGTTTCAGGGTCTCATAATATCAGATTATTTACCGTAAGTTTCTAAATTAGTCAAATCTGTACTGCTATTCTGAATTAGAGAAGCATATCCCAATTAACACAAGGAAGATATGAATATCCAAATGCACAGTTCATGTCAATTCTATTCTATCCTATAATCAGTTATTGATGATTGAATGCAAATTATCTCCTGCCTAGGAAATTTAGTCAGTATTTGAAAGAATTACTTTTGTTTTGCTCAAAAATGATTTGGAATAAACAACAATATTCATAGTACTTCTGTAACAATTAAACATCTGGAAAGAAATATTTAGTTATGCTAAAAATGTCTTTGAACTAAACTTTTTACACATGTTCCTTTTATCATTTTAATAAGTCAGCAAGTTGAAAATTACTCTTTTACTTTATAGTCATATTAGTCTTTCACCTACTTATCACTCTAGTTAACTTGTCTATAAAGACAGCTATAAATTATTTAGCATTCTCCTCCACATTAAGAAAGAAAAAATGTAATTGGTGAAGGATGTTGCCCACAATTTATGCTTGGTAACAATTTATGCCTTCACTATTCGTGAAATATAAATTTCTTTAAAAGGTGAACATTTAAAACAGGAAGTAATGTACTAAAGGGATGTTGCCCACAATTTATGCTTAGTAACAATTTTTGCCTTCACTATTCGTGAAATATAAATTTCTTTAACAGGTGAACATTTAAAACAGGAAGTAATGTACTAAGAATTTTGGAGAGTTTACGTAAGGGTAAGTAGTTTCATTAAAACAACTAAAAGTATGAAGTGTTCTGAAGGTAAGGCAAATAAATCTAATTCTAAAGTTATAAACTTCCCACTAATTCACTGTTGTGCTCAAATGAATTGCAAGCACTGGATTATATGAAAAAGTTATGATCATTTCCTCTGTTGTTCAAGTCTGCTTTTAAGCCTAACCTAGTTTTCCATTTCTCTGTTGAAATTCTTTATTTTATCTCTTTATTATCTATCTTTATTAAAAACGTTTCAAACTGTATAATGGTTATTTTTAACTGCTGTCTACTAATTTCACAATTGAATCATTCATAGTATGCTTCTGTTAACTGTTTCATTTTCGTTATGTGTCACAAATTTCTGGTTTTATATTTTATATAATTTTATGTATGACACATTGCATATGTAATATTACAGAGGTTCAATTTGATATCGTCTTCAGAAATCCTAGTCTTTTCTCTATTAGATGTAAACACTGAAGTGGATAGCATAAATCCAATCAGATGCTTAGCTGACTTGAGTTTAGAATGTAGATTTTGTGAGACTCAATCTCCTCTGGTTTATTCCTGATTTTTATTTATATCCAATCGAGGTTTTGATTGTGACTCTGATGGGTGTCTTTATCACAGCCTGTGACATTTCAGAGATTCAGTTTTGTCCTTAGTAATTTTGAATTACAGCTGCGAACTTCTTTCAGTCCCCCCGCCTTCAAACACCCACAAAATTCCTCAAGTATAAAATGGACTTTATTCGTATCCTTTCAAATTTAATGCTGCTAATATAAATTCAATTATGAATACAATTATTAAACAAAGAAAGTCATTAAAATAAAAATGTCAAATATTAGTGAATCCAGAAGTAATTTTGGATCACATATATCCAGAGCTTAGTATACCACCAAATTTAACAAAGAACTTGATTCCATGTTCTATATATATGAGCAGCATATAAATTATAGCAGTTTAACCATTAATAAGTTATTACCAGATATATCTCAAATAATCAGAGAGTAATGTCTTAGCATTCAAGTCTTGAAAAATAGGAAGGTTACACAAGCTATACAATTTTTAAAATCAATAAAAAATCCAAGTTAGTGCAGTGGTTGATTAATCATGACAGCTGCTATGAAATGATAAAATCAACATCTAAGTTCAAGTTAAAAATATTCATTGGCCAAGTCATAAAAATTAAGTCAAACTTTCAAAATTATTAAACACGCAATATATTTATGTAAATCTAATAAAATATGGATATATACAGTTTCAGCCAAAGATATAGACATGT